TTGGAATAACCAAGATTAATACGCTTCAAATTTCTAAGATTCTACAAGAAAAAATAAATTAATTTTGTAAGCCCCAATAAATTCATGAATAAAAATGTGATTTTATGATAATTTGGATTATGAATTTCCCCATTAGTACATGTCATGATACTTTACTTGCAATAAGAAAATTATTATGTTATTTGATGATCAATTATGTAAGCATGTCTGAATAGGCGTGTTTTTAGTTCATGAATTTAAATTGTACATGAGATTTTTAGAATTATCAATTTTTAAAGATTTTTATCCCTGCTTAGTAATATTAAGTTACAAGGATTTATTAGGAATTCTAAATGTTCCAATAGATCCTAAAAGATCACGCATGGTAAAACTTCAAATGTCAAAATGATAAATAACATTAAGAATGCATAAAGTTCCACGAGTATTACTTAGGTTATGTAAGTTATTTGATTCACAAGGATTAAATTCAATCCACATCATGATTAAAGGAAGTTCTTAGCTAGGATATCCATAAACTGGATACAAACACATAAAGTAGACTTAACTTTCTCAGTAATGCAAATCATACCATAAAATTCCAAGTCAAGCTAAGTCCAAAGGTTTGATTTAAAGTGACTGTCAGGTAGTCAATTTTGTCTGTGTAGATTTTTATCATATATGATTTACACTTTTTTATGTTGGTCTACTAGTAAAAATAGTTGAATTCCAACTTTTGAAATTTTCTTGGTCTTACAAAGTAGTAGTCCGAAAACTCAGGTCGTTACAAATTTAGTAAGTTATTGGTTTTTTTAATAAATAATAATAGGTAATCATAAACACTTAATACATGATATTCAACTTATTAATTAGTATTATAGCATACCTGTACACCACTCCAAAGTTGCTTAAGCTCGCTACAGGGCATGTCAAGTTCAACGAGATATTCCCCCTCATAATTCGATGGCAAAGATTTTAATGGGTAGCTATACCAGCAAAGATATCTTAAGGAAGGAGGAAGAAACTGCAGACCTTCAGTAAGATATATTTTGAATTTATGATCATCAGAATGATTTGCAATGTATATCTTGAGCAATCTCAGTCTATGCATCTCGTTGAAAACTGTAGGTTTCAAGTGTAGATCATCATCAATCATAGACATGTCAAGGTATATTCCTTCGATTGCTCTGGTTCCCTAGGAATTTAAAGAAATGATAAATGAGAATATGAGTTATGAAAAGTAAAAAGGAACAGTTACTAAAACTAATTACGTATAGAGAGAGAGAGAGAGATGTTGTTCTGTAGTAGCTTAATTAGAATTTGATACTCACTCTGTTGTTTTTTAGAACATTATAGACGTCGTGAGGAATCCACAACCGGCTACGCTCACCAGGATCTTTAATAGATTGTTGGCGAACAATTTCCCAACCCATCTCTTGTATCAAATCATGCATCCGAACTTTGCCCTTAAAAATGGTAATGAGAGACTTGTTTATGAGAACTTCAATCCCCAAACGTGGAAACAAACCACAATTATCTAGTATGCTCTCTATAAAATCTCTTCTCTCCCCTTTAAGAAAATATGCAATATCAAGGAAAATATCCCGCTCCTTATCATCTAGCCCATCATAACTTATTTTCAACACCTTTTGAACGTCTGAATGGGGAATTATTTTTAGCTTATTCCATGTGTGTTCCCAATATTCTACGGCTTGAGAATGAAGGGAGGAACCTAAAATTTTCAGAGCAAGAGGATTGCCTCCGGTATAAGTTACTATTGCTTCCGACAATTCAATGAAACGTGTAATGGAGGGCTTTGTTTTAAAGGCATTCAAATAAAAGAGTTCAAGTGCTTTCTCGAAATCTAATGGCTTAACTTGGTGTATTTCATCGGCATACTTTTTAAGGAGTTGTGCATCTCTAGTCGTCATGATGACTTTACTTCCTGGGCCAAACCAACTGCCACCTCCTAACAAACAGTCCAGCTGCCTTATATTATCAACATCATCAAGAACAATGAGCATCGTTTTATTGTGGAGCCTATTTCTCACAGAGCTGTTGGCTGGACTTTCTAGATCTCTTTCCTCCAGTAGATTCGAAAAAAGTTTGATTTCTAGGTAAGGCAGTCCACGCTTTTCTGAATTTTTCCTAACATTCTCAAGAAAGCAGCAATTTTCAAATCGATAAGAGAATCGATTGAAAATTTCAATGGCAAGAGTAGTCTTGCCTATACCACCAAGCCCCCAAAGGCCTATGACACGAGGATTTGGTAATCCAAAGCATAACAAGGATTCAATTTCCTCAAGTTGTTGATCTATTCCAACAAGTCCCTTTGTAGCAATACTAATTTGTGGCAATCGATTTAATTTCCTCAATACATCTTTAACAATCTTCTCAATTAATTCCGTCTCATACCTAGCATAAATATAAAAGAGAAATGAATTAATGTGAAAAAACCATGATGAAATGCAAAAAAGAAAAACAAAATAAAACGTGTATTTTTTTTCCTTCTTTTTTGAGAAATCAAATGTATCCTTTCATATTACAGATTGTAATTCATTATCTGACAGTTTCAGATTGTATTATTGTTTTGTTTAGCTACGCATTTTAAATCAAAATATGTTACTTTTAGCACTACAGCTTTGCTTGCACTTATGTTTTTGTTCTTTGTTTAAAAAATTGAAAAGTAGCAAATTCACCTAATTAAATTTTGCTACTACTATTTACCTATTTTAATTTTAAAATTAAAAAAAATTACAAATTGAGGAAGTAATAATTAATTCTTACTTGTGTAGTCATTTTCCATTTTCAAATATTATTTAGAAGATTTATATAAAATATCATACATACTGATCTTGTGAATGAAAGCCAGATAGATCAGCTGCAACAGTTAAAGCATTTCTCCACTCCTCCACTTTTTTCGGCCCAAAACGTTTTTTGTGTGCAGCAAAGGCAATAGCATAACGCCCTTTCTGTTTCCTAATATCCGACGGATCGATGTTGTAAAAGACGGATAAAACAATTTGACCCTCTTTCATTCTTGCATTTGAGAATATGCAAGAGCTCATTCAAGCACCAGCTAGAAGAAGCATACTCTTTCGAGAAGACGACTATTGAAATCATTGATTCCTCAATTGCTCTCGAAAGTGCAGGCGAAATTTCATCTCCTCTCTCGAGATTCAAATCATCTCTGTAGGTCCGAATGCCTTTCCGGCATATATCTCTCTCCTCTTGCCCTTTCTAATTTTGGGTGTTGTCAATTTTCCTCCATCTACACCTCAATGTGATTATTTTTGTAGGGGAACTCCAATAGTTAATGTTTATTACAATTTAAAAAATATATATATACCACAATGACTCGTATTTCTATACACTAATGCCACCCAGCTATAATACATTTCCAAATATATATATATATGTGCACTAATTGAACTCCACGTACTATATTTCGCGTATTAAGTTTTAATTATCGCATTATTATTAAAAGTACATTATATTTGAATATAAAATCTCAAAAAAGTAACTAAAATGCAATAAATAAATAAATAAACAAAGTTTAGTTTTAGGGCAAGCCAAAAAAAGGTAAAAAAATGATTAAAGAGAAGAAATAAATAAATTTTACAAAATTTTGAGCGCTTTATATATACTTCCCAATAAATTTAAATATAAAAAGGGCAACATTAAGACTTCTATAGCTACAATGACTAATACAAACAAAAAGTAAATTTTAATCTTGCGTACCTATTATCACACACCCAATCTTTATCGATCATTCTAATATCATCAATCGACTTCACAGTTAACATAATGCTAAATTAATTTTCACATTTATAACTAAGAAATAAATTTATTCTAACATAATTTTAAAATAAAATAACAAATAATGTGGATCAAGTAGATAAATCACTTAATACCAGAGCAAAGAAAAAAATGATAAATCACTTAATACATAAATCGAAATTAAAAAACAATTCTAAGGAAGACAAGAATACAAACAATAGGCTTGTTCTTTTGAGTGAAAAACTAAAATAAAGGCAACTCGAGTTACAACTTTATTCGAGTTTATGTTCTTTTAAGTTTAAATTCGAGTTAAAACTCGAGTTCAAACTCGAGTTTAGGACTAAAACTCGAGTTCAAGTTTCCCCTTCAACTCGAGTTCAGAAACTCGAACTCAAATTAATGAACAGTATTTTTTCTATTCTTAAAAATGCTATAACTTTTTCATTTTAATTCTGATTGAGATGATTTTTTTTTATGCGTTGACAACGAAAAGACGAATAAAACCCGACTCATATACCCTATTAAAATTTTTCATCAGCATTGAGTTTTTATTAAAATACTATCTAAATACAAATTCAAGTTTTGAGTCACTCAAAAAGAAACTCAAAAAGATTCTTATCTCAAACCATAACTCAAATGTACACAACCAAACACAAACTCAAGTTACAAGTTCAACTCAAGTTATAACTCAAGAATTATACTCAAATTAAACTTCAAAAGAACAAGCCCTAAGAAATTTGGAAAAATAAAAATTATCAATACATGGTTGAAGAGACCAAATAATGAAAAAGGTACATAACAAAAAGAGAGAAAAAAACGCAAATAAACAAAGCATACCTTCGTGTCTTTGAGGATATCACCAAAGAAATTCCAAATCTTCCAAAAACGACAAGATTATTAGACATGTAAAAAAAAAATAAAGGATGAAAAAGAGCAGAAAAAAACAGCCATGATTTCTTCTGAAAACATAATTGTGAGTGAAAAAAGCAAGCAAAATATTATGTTCCGTAGAGGAAAACTAAATTTTATGACCTACAGATTGTGGGTTTTCTTGTACAACTAAGGAATTTCATAGAAAAACACAAAACATCACTACAGATTTTATGAGACCAAAAGAATCAAAAAAAAAAAAAAATAGAGAAGACTGCCGTGATTCGAGGAGAAACAAGCCAAAAAAATCAGGGCATACCTTGGTATCTTCTATCAAAACCCAAATTGAAACGAAGAACGACCCAAACTTCAAAAGATCAAAAACCTAAATTAGGGAAGTTGCACGATCTCCAAATATAATGACCATGTTTGAAACTGATTCCGTTTTTATCTTTCACGTTTTTTGAGAAAGAAAAAATAAAAACGTTCTCAAAACGGCATTTAGCGCAATAAATACAAAAAATAGAAATGAAAACGATTATTTAGTTTAGTGTAAAATGAGAGAGAAATGAAAAATGACTTTTAATTTTTTTCATTTTCTATTTTCATTTTCTCCTCTCTGAAGTAGAGAGAGAGAAAGAGAGACATTAATAGGTTTTTTTAAACTGAAAATAATCTCTTAATAAAACTACCAAATGCATTTTTAAAAATGATTTATGTCTGAGATTGAAAACGTTTTATTTTTATTTTCATACAAAAACAAAATCATTTTGAAACAAGTTTCAAACACACTTAATACATTTCAAGAACCTAAACTTGTATACAATGACTCTTATTTCTATACACTAATGCCACCCAGCTATAATACATTTCCAAATATATATATACATATATATATATATATATATACTAGTTGAACTCCACGTACTACACGTAGAGAATAATCGTGTATTAAGTTTTAATTATCGTATTATTATTAAAAATATATAACATTTAAATATAAAATCTCAAAAAGAAACTAAAATGTAATAAATAAATAAATAAAGTTTAGTTTTAGGGCAAGCCAAAAAAAGGCAAAAAAAAGATTAAAGTAGAGAAATAAATAAATATTAACGCAAAAGAAATTAAAATGGAAAAAGAAGAAGAAGAAGCAACAATAGCCATATCGTTGGGAGGAAAAGAATGAGAAAAGGGTTTCTTCGCTTGTGTTGTGAAAGAAAGAAAGAAAGATGAATATTGTTTAAAGGTAGAACTGCATGACCAAGTGGTTTAGCAATTTCCTAAAAAATCAGAAGAAGAAGAAGAAGACCATCTAAGTCAAAAGAAGAAGAAGAAAAAGAAAGGTACGTGTACATCTTTAAATTATTATTTTTATTATTAAGAAAAAAACACTATTAATAGGCATTTAGCTACAGTTCTGAACCGTCATATTTCTATCTATTAAACTACATATTTTGTAAACATTATATGATTCTGATATACCATGAGAGGTCGTAATTGTCCAATCTCTTTATACCTTTGCCTAAAAAATATTTCCTTTTTGTTTGAAGATAACTGTTCTTTTTTTTTCTTTTTTTTTCTCTTTTTTTTTTCAGTGTCTGCGATCCCTAATGGTAATAAATACAGAAATCAGAAATTCTTTTTCTTTTCTTCTTCGAAGCATTCTCAGCAGTTACAAAAATATGAATATAACCAAAAATTCAGAGAGAATACATCTTAGAACACCAGAATTATAATCTACAATGTTACTTCTAATAACAAATTGATGAATTGAAGAAATCTCTGAGGAAGAAATAGCCACAAATTATGAAAAAGAGCATATATATATATATATATATGAATTAACACAATGAACAAAATGAAACAAAGATTAACGTGTTCTAGACAAGAAATAAATGTGAAAACAAAACAGAACAACATAGTAAATGAATTCAAAGCGAAAAAGAGGTTACCCAGAAAGCTTTTTCGACGAAACTAAACTCGATTATGGAGGAGAAAGATAACAATATAACGAATGTAGACAGAGAAGTTCACAAACAGATCTCAACTGGGAGACCTCGGACTCGGACATTGTAGCTATAAATAGAACTGTTCGAAGGAGAAATGAATAAATAATTAATTAATGCAATAGAGTCAGAGTCTATTGTGGTTTAGCAATTTCCTGGAAGGTTGAAAGAAGAAGAAGACCATCTTAGTCAGAAGAAGAAGAAAAAGAGAGGTAGGTGCACGTCTTTAAATTATTATTTTTATTATTAGCAGTATTTTTTTTTTTACTTAATTTGTCAACGTCTTCTTAGTATTTATGATAATGTGATCACATTTTATTTTGTATATTTATTAAATAAGTAGTATTGTAATTGTGAGTTTTATTTAACTAATATATTATTATCTATTTTAAAATTTTTAAAATCTCATTTAAAAATAAAGTGTTTTAGTATAACTTTTTGTTTTTACGTCAATTTTAATTGAAATTAATGTTTTTATCAATATTTTCATAAAATTTCAATACATATATTCCCGTAAATATTGATATTTTCATACTTAGTACCGGCTAAAAACTAGATATGCAAACCATTATCAAATATCTGATTAATCCTAAATGAGATCTAAAAACTTCATCAAAATATTTGGATGTTGAGAAGAATGATGAAGAACTCTCGCTGTCCCTCTTTGCAACCTTTGATGAAGTTGCGGCGTTTGGCATCTCTGGCACGGGCAAGTAGATGCAGAAAAACTCGAAGCGGCAAAAACAATCAAAAGTAAACGAGAAAAAAATATAATCTAGGCTAATATTTTTTCTATTTTTTTTTTTCTATCAGATATTTAATCTAGTCTAACATGGTTGAAAATTTTTAAAACTAAAAGAGAGGAGGTTAAGCTTTTTTTTATATAGAATAAGGTTGAACTGTTAAAACTCAATAAGTACGGGAAAAAATAATATGTTGTGTTATTGGTGTTATTGGTACTTGGGCTAAAAATCGGCTTCATCCATAAATGTATTTAGTTTTTGTTTTATTAGTTTCCTGGAAGGTGCACGTCTAAGTCAAAAGAAGAAGAAAAAGAGAGGTAGGTGCACGTCTTTAAAGAGATGAATAATGTCTAGAAAAGAACAACTTCAAGATAAGTGGTAAATAATTTCCTGGAAATGTCCTATGATACGTTGATGGTGGGTTAGGTCATAGAAGAAAGAGAAAGAGGGTTAGGATATAGATGGTAGGTCCATGATTAGCTTTTTTTTTTTCTAATAAAAAAACAATCAGCTTTTAAAATTAGTGCTGGAACTTTGGACTGGCCGCTCGCGACCGCCTGAAAAGCCCGAGGTTTTGCCCGAGCCCGAGCCCGAACCGCCCGAGAAATTCGGAGCCCGAATTTCACCTTGAACGGGCCGCGGGCTTGTATTAGGCCGCCCGAGCCTAGCCGGGTGGCCCGAGCCCGCCCGAATTGCCCGAATTATTTAAACTTTTTTTTTTAATATTAAGTTATTTATATGTATATATATATTACAATTTGAAATGAACACACGAACTATATAAAAAAATTATTTCTTTATTAATTTTTAAATTTGTAATTAATGATTGCCTCGTTAAAAATCTTACCAAGAAAAACCCAATTGGGATAAAAACTTTGCAAGGAAAAAAGAGTGCAATCATTTTGTGACGAATTACAAATTGTACAAACTTACATTGTTTATTAAATTACAAATACAATGTAAAAAGTAAATACATATTTACAAATTACAAATTTACAATTTAATTTGAAGCTGAGGGATCGTCTTCAAAATTAAATGTTAATCGATTAAATTCATCGATCCATTCTTGGCTTGCCGGTGAAATTGTATCTTGTAGACGTTGATCGGCCCGATCCCAATCCTTAATGCAAACCAAGGCTTCAACAATATCCCTTT